ATCATGTCAGCGAAGCGGCAATAAAATATTTACTACCATTTTGCACAACATACCTCTGCGAGAGCGGATTTTCGACCATGACAAACATGAAAACTAAACATCGTCACCGACTTCAACTCGAAGATGACTTGAGACTGAAGCTGATCAAAAAGCAACCAGATTTTACAAAGTTGTGCAAAGAAAATCGTGCACATTTGTCACATTAAAATTAAATAAACTTATGTTATTTTCATTATTACTAGAACTTATTTTAAAGGTAATAATTGTAAAAAAAAAACTTATTTTATTTATCACTAGCTGTCTACCCACAGCTTCGCCCTCATTATATCGAATTTTCTCGTGGGAATAAAATATTTTCTCGCATTAAAATGTAGCCTATGTCCATCTCCAACATGTAAGCTATCTCTGTGCCAAATTTTATTAAAACCTGTTCAGCGGTTTAGATATGAAAAGGTGACAGACAGACATTACCTTCGAATTTATAATATTAGTATAGATTAATATGAATTTCTGATATAAGGGGTACGCGAGTTTGAGCTCTTTCTTGAAGTGGTACGCAGGAAAAACTAATTGGGAACAACTGGTTTATCGTATTACTTTTACTGTATTATATCTTGATGATGGTTGCAAAAACAGTCGAAAACGTTTGATTTTCTTAATGAAAATTGTTGCCAGTAAATTCTTTCACTGTTTATCATCATTGCGAGTTAAAAATATTTGTCATATAAACTGTAGTATTTACTAGTATATGAGACAGCAAAAGAGAATTTTACTATTTTACTCTATAGTTATCAGTGGCATGCCGTGACATTTGATGATAGGGAAGCTGTGTTTCTGTAAGAAGCCGTAATCCAGGGGCAATCAGTTAATTGCGCGTCAGTGATGGTCTAGGGTCCATTCGTATTCGTTTATTCGATAAGCCAATAAAAACCGTAGACTTCTCTTGTATAGTTATTTCAATGGATATCTCTAGAATAAAGGAGAAAAATTTGAAAGAAAAAGAAAGAAAGTTGAAATTACAGAATGCGAACGGTTTACTATTAACAACTGTATTATCGATTAAAAATTTACAGCAGACTATTTCTTTTCAATTGCAACCGAATGATGTTATCATCGGAGGTTATCCAAAATCTGGAACAACATGGACACAGTATATTGTATGGGAGATCATTAATGAAGGAGCTCCACTTCCCAGTGTAAACGAAATATGGTATAAAGAAGTTCCTAATTTGGAAATGGTTGGTACTGATTGCCTTGAGAATATAAAATCTCCTCGTTTATTTAAAGTTAGTTTACCATTTAACTATACGCCATATTGTTCTTCTGCTAAATATATTTATGTGTCTCGCAATCCTTGGGACTGTTGTATTTCGGCTTACAACCATTTCTCGCAAGTAGACGCAGGTTTTATAAGCTGTACATTCGACGAATATTTTGAGTGTTTCATTAACGGTGAGGTATCTCATGGAGATTACTTCGATCATTTATTGTCCTGGTATGTTCATTGGGACGATCCCAATTTTTTATTTCTTACTTACGAAAATATAAACAGAGATACCAAAAACGCAGTTTTAAAAATCGCTAAATTTTTAGACGAAAAATATTATAAAACTTTAACTGATAATAAAGAGATGTTTGAAAATATACTCAGACAACTCAAATTTGAGCATATGAAGCGGAATTGTATCCTAGAAAGATCAAATTATTCCGATAATGTCGATTCAAAGAATGAAATTAAATTTTTCAGATCAGGAACGATTGGTCAATGGAAACAATTTTTAACAGAAAATCAAAAAGAAAAATTAAAACAGAAATTTATTAAAAAATTAAACGGAACCAACATGTTTTCTATGTGGAAAAATTCTGACATTTCTTAATGAATAAAATAAGATCTGGACTCTATCATTAGGATTATTTTAATTAATAATTAATAATTTAGTTTGACAATGAGGAGAAAAACAATATTGACCTTAAACATTTTTTTCAAATGTCATTTCTGTATTATCTATTAAAATGACCGGTTTAACTAAATTTATAAGAAACGTAATTTTGTTATATATACTACTGTTGTATCTTGTTGTTTGCAAGCCTGTTAAAGTTAAAAATAATTTTGTATTAAATAGCCAAATAAAATTGTATTCACACATATAAAATACACAAAATTTTTTCAATCACATACACTAGTATTATGTGTAGAATTAAAACTTATTCCGCAATCGAAGCAATCAAAAGAAATTTAAGTTGAAATTTTACGATTAATTTGTCTGTATGACTGCGTTTCATCCGGTTTCTTTTAATAGGGAATAACTATTGTATGCCATTTGGTGTGAAAAGCTAGAGGTATTCTGGTGTTTAGCCTAATTGAAAAAATCGAATAAAAAACAAAATTTATGCAAATAATAAATTTATTAAATTTTTCTGATAATAAATCAGAGAGGGATAATTGTAATTTACTTAGTCTAACTAACATTGAAATATTTTGTTTAAACATATTCCATTATATTAATTGGTTTATCGCAATGGTTCCCAATTAGTGGTACGCGTACCCACGGGGGTTCGCGAAATTGCATGAAGGGGTAAGCGCGGCAATCTAAAATTGGTCGATTTAAAATTTAAATGCATGAGATGAAGCAATCAAAAAAAAATCGGCAATTTACAACATGATGTCGAATGCACAAATTCGTTTATTTATAACTAAAAATATTCTTGAAATTTCATCAAAAAAATGATTTGCGGCAATACCTAAATGAAATTTTTGCGCAAGAAACAAAAATTGTACAATTAACACAATTTGTTTTCGCGAAATTAATTTTTAAAATTTTTGTCGCTATTGCGAATAACTCCACCGACCACCTTCCCATCTCTGACCAAGACGAATTAATAGACATTTCATGCAACAGCAGACTCAAGAGTTGTTTTGCAGAGCAATCACTGGGTAATTTTTGGGCTGACCTAAAAGACATNCCTTCATTTGTTTTGTAACTAATTCGTTTTAGGACCAGGTGTCTACGGAAATTTCCAAAATTTACTTTTCAATCATTCTCATTGAACTGGAAAAATTTATGTCTTTATTATCTAATATTACGAAGAAATCAGTCCACACCGTACTCAGTTTTGTTTAAGTAGAATTCCGGCTCTTTCAGCAGGGTTTTATGTCCCTAATTCCCTAATCTCTTAATTATTTAGCTACTTCTTAAGTAGAAATAAGTCGAAACCGGTTACTTTGTACTTGAATATTTGTAATCTTGGGAAAAAAGTGGTCCATATTTGCTTGACAGAAGATCTATTAAACCTTTCTCACTACTACATTTTTTGTCCTTTCTCATCTTTCCCTCCTTTTCCCAAATTTGGGTCTGTAATCCTTTGAGTCACAACTCCAGCTTTATTTAGTAATCTTTCCGCATTCACACATCTCCAAGTATTCGAAAATATTTTCTTTCCACTCAAAAATAACATATGAAACGGATTTGTGAAACTTTTTTTACGGAAATTTACGGATTTGTGAAACTTTTTTTTTTGAGTTTATGCCGTTGAAATAAATAAATAATAAAAAATTAAAACATTTGTCGGTTTTGTTTACACGTTTATTGGGCCGCGGGTTGGACACGGGTTGGACGTGGGTTGGGCCCCTGGACTAAATCAACTTCTGATATGTGACCATTTACACAAGTCTAGGTAGGTATACAGTTACTTCTGTTTTAAGTAGTGTTGGATTAAGACCCTCTGGGGCTTCTAGGCACTAAAGATGAAAGCCTGCCTACATCATAAACTAATAAGAATTATTAGAATATAATTATTTAAAAATTATGATATATAATTGCAATGATAAATCTGTTTTGTTTTTTCCAATTTTGGGATCCCGAGGTTCTGGTCTAGGCAAGTGAAGCAATCCGGAAACAGTGCCTCGCATGCCAAGTGGAACTGTTTCCGAGAATGCTATTATGATTATCTATACCAGTGAAATGTAAGGTTTACACCAATCCTCTTATTACTGTAGACTCTAAAGTGTAGAGAATACAGTAATAAGAGGATTAAGATGGCTGGTTACTGTTTTGCCGACTTACATTCGTTAACATAACTGGAAACAACCATAAATTTTAGCACAAATTGATTAATAACTTTCGTTTGACCTTATTCAAAAGCCTTCATCAGGCTACATTACTTCGAATATCAAAGACGCTGACAGAACGTCTACATAGACGTTCTGTATTGATTGAATTGATTGATTGAAAGCTATTAGTAATGACTAAAAAGTATTTGACAAAACAGTAACTTTATCATTCATAAAAAATAGTACATGTACTATTAAACTTAGTCTTTAATTTACTTGCTTAAAATATCTTAAATATTGAACAAACATCCTTCTCGTCTTTATAATTTATTACAAATTCTGTAATATTGTAAATTGAAATAAGGTTAAAAATGAGATTAAAAAAATAACACCCCCTGTTTTATGCACGTTTTCTATACGATTTTCTTCGAATTTGATCAAAAATAGATTTACTAAATAAGTTATATTTAGTTGCTTACGCTATTTACTTTTTATTTCTATTATCATAATTTTTTTGAGGATGATTTGTCACATATATATTCGATCATCTCAACACTTTACGTCTTAGGTACTATACAAACATAATTAAAGAGAGATGTTTCACGCTCCATGAACCACGCTCATCCATGTTATCCGGATGTCGGCGATCGTAATCCCATTGTAAGTGAATATTTGCCAAAGAGTGAGCCTCATTTTATTATGGAGACATAGAGTATATGTCGAATTAATCGTAAATTGAAGGTCCACTAAACTTATGTTTCATATTTTTTATAATTATAATAACTTATAAATAACTTACTGTATTTGGTATAGCCAAAAAGTTCTCTTGAATTTATCTTTCTGCCATTGAAAGACCAAGTTTTTCGAGAAAAGTTTAATGATAAACTTAATTTCTTTTAGAAAAATTGGAGAATTTAGCTTTTTATATTAACAAAAGTCTAAATAATAATGTCGAAAAAACGAAAAAACTCATATAGTCCTAAATTTGCTAAAATTTTTGATGATAAATTTATGTCAAGAATATAAAAAATAAAATAAATAAAAATGATAAAAATGACACTGAAAAATACATTAACTTTCACCATGAACTTTAAAAAAAATAAAATAAATAAAAAAATTTCAACAAGCAATTTTTGTTTAAATAATTATTAATAATTTGCTTTCAACAGTTATTAACAATTACACATTAACACAAAATTAAATTAAGATTTTTAAGTGTATAAATTAATTTTAGAATAATTATTTCTTATTAAAACTTTATAATACACGTTAAAAACGTAATTCTCAATATATATTGTAAAATAAATATAATTTTTTATTTAATATATAAAACTAATCGTATCTTTTAAAAGATACGATTAGTTTTATATATTCTTTCGACTTATTCAATTGAATGTATGAGATAATGCGTTTACGAACTTAGGTTAATTTCTAGTAAAATTATTTATAATGACTAATATATATTATTCATTATAATACTAATAAATAATATATATGAATATACAGATTCAAATATCACAAAGTATAGTGACTCCGTAAATAACGTGAGTTCATTATCGATCAGTAATCTCATAAAACCGTTTATTCCAATTAGGTTGCTAAGATGAGAATTGGATTTTATACCAAAATTTCGGCTATTATGCAGAAAATGAATATATGGTTATTTTTAACGGCTAATTGTTTTAATAACAGCATTATAGAAAAATTGTATAAGCTATATGTTTTTCATAATAATAATATATAAACAATAATATTTTAATATTTTGACGTAAATTTGATCAGTATAATGAATATTTTTATCATAAATAAGAGTTTAAATTTTATTTTTAGTATTTAAAAAGTTTATAGATACCGATTATAACTTATTACATAAATATGAGCTAAAAATTAATAATAGTTTAAATTTGATTGAAAATAATGTCGAAATGAAATAGTAAATTAAAATTATTTTAACATGTATTTATATATAAATTTTCACATAATGTTTATTTTAGAATATTCTTTTCATTTTTAAACTTAAAATATATCTGAAAAAAGAGATTCAAAATTGTATTATACCATAATAAATAAATATTATAATAAATATTAATTTTTGGGTGGAAATAATTTTGTCAGCAGATACTAAATACTATAGTTCAATAGAAAGTTATCATATGTAGTAAAAACATATTATCTCGTAATCATATATTAATTTATTAATTTATTATATATTGTAATTGGATACATTAAACTATGATTTTAATATCTTGCATGAGTTATCCCTTGTCTTTGTATAATTTCATAAATTATTTCATATGTTAATCAATTGGTCAAAAATATACCTATGGTTTATAGGCTATCATTATAGCTTATAAATTATTCTAAATTATGCTATATGAGTGCTTAGTAGATCATCTTAAATTCGTGTTAAAGCTAACCTGAAATTATTGTATATTTTTATGGATCTCCAATTTAAATCTTCACAACTCGTTTTCAGTTTCTCTAAGTTTTGTTTTGAATAATCCTATGAAACCAGCTTTTAGTAATTTGCTTTTAAATTAATAATTTCACGTTGTAAAAGTTTGTATTAAACAAGTTATATTTTACAATATGATTTCAAATTTAATTACACAGATATCAACTCTTTGGAACAATCAATTTAACATCTAACAAGTAAGATATACAAAAATTGTTTTATCCTTCTAATATATTACATATGAACATGAATACAGGTTTTAATAATTTTATATGTCTTATTAAAATAATCTTTTCTATAAGTGTTTGTGTGTGAACAAACTGTCAATATGTCTTTATATTTATCTTTTGAGAAAATGTCAAAATCCTTGTAAAATAAAATTTAAAAAATATTAATTTTACATAATTTTAATAATTATGTAAAATTATTATTTTTTTAATTTTATTAACGTTTATAAATAATACAAGTTTTTATTTTTTCATTATTTATGTCGAATCTCAACTAATTAATTATGTTAATTTGTACTTTTGTATTGTTATAGATGATATCAAAATTTGCCAGTCTTTTGTAACAAGGTTTTTCTCAAATATAATTAACTTATCAATATCTCAAAAACTTATATCTCAATTACCTTAAAACATCTTATTTTTAGACAGCCTGAAAATATTATATATTCATAGTAATTAACAATATTATTTCAGTATTACCTTATACCTTAATAAACTATCTCAATTGCAACTTGTTTAAAATTAAATTATTCTGAAGTTTTCAAAATATCTATTTCTTATTTTCTTAAAATATTTTACATCGCTTCTTAGCAAGTATAGGTACAGTCTATATTATTCTAACTCAATGTTAAACAAAAAGGTTTTATATCATAACAGATTATCCTAACTATTGTATATATTAAATAAATTTTCTGAATTAACTTAAATTAAATCTTACATAAGCTATTTCTAATCAGAATATAAAACTTTTGGTAGATTATAATAATTTAAAAATCTGTTGAGAAAATTTGTAAATAAGTTTGCTAGTTTAGAAAGAGTTTTTTTAACCAACAAATTGCACGATTCGGGGATAAAAGCTATCCCTTCTTTAAAAAGTTGATCTAACTAAGATTTGAAGAGAGTTTCGATATCAGTTTGTAAGGTCACAATAGAACCACTATCGTTCGCACTTAAAGGCGTAGACATAATTCTAAGAGAATATCCTGTGACGTAGTATAAGCATGCGCACGACTTTTATACCTTCTAGATATAATACGAAAGTGAAGTAAATAAATGTATTGGAACGGTCGATCTACAGCAAACTACAATCATGTATTTCACTCTTATAACGTTCTTCTTCATGACAGCATTAAAAATGTCTACAGGTGGGTTTTTCTTTTCTTAAAAAAAGTTTCGTTCGAAAAGTAAAAAAAAAAAAAAAATTAAACGCGTTTTCTTTTATTCAAAATAAAAAAAATGAATTTTAATTTGATTTTTTCGTTCCGTTTCTTAGTGTAAAAAATTAAAATTCTTCGTTTTAGGCGAACTTATTTAAAATATATGCACTATAAATATATATTGTTTTCTTTGTAAATTTATAATATATGTTAATATTATTTTAAAAAATTATTATTTTTTGGAAAAATAAAAATCTAAGCGAAAAATTAAAAACAAAAAAATTCTAGCCGAAAAAGTACTATCGTATTTAAAATAACTTAAAACTTTGCTATAAAACAGTCATTTTTTACTCTGTAAATAATGCAAATTTTATTTTTCCTCATAAAATATTTTTTTAGGAAAAATGTTTATTTTTTACAAATTGTTATTTTACTAAAAAGTATAATTTCTTTTTCTTTATAACTTTTAAAAAATTAAGAAAGTTTTTATTGTTCTTTCGTAAAATTGTCGCATTCATCTCTGAAAAATTACATACATAAAACAAAAATTTTTCATAAGGTTTTTTGGAGTAAAATAAGAGCATACAATTTTTAAAAGATTATTTTTGTAAACTGCCAGTTTTCCTATATCAGAATTAAATAATATTATATATTACAATTTCGATAATGAATATTTCTTATAATCGGCAATTTCCATTAGAAATATATAAAAATTAATAAGTAATTTTGCAACCGGATTTATTTTACTTTTAATATTTGATTAATAGAAATAAATTCCGATTTAATTAAAATAAAATTAATCAAAAATAATATTTTATTATTCTTATTTACATCATCAGATAAATAATTTAAAAAGTCTTTAGAATAAAATATTTTAAGAGATATTTAAGGTATTTTATTATTATTACTTATATTAACACTTTATAAACACTTTAAATTATTAAGTTAAATGAAGACTTTCATTTCTTCTATTAATAATCTAGAACTCAACGATTTTTCTATAGTTTTAACTCTTTCCATCCAAGATGCATATCACAGGTTTCCTGTATAGAAATTATTTTAAAATCTAGTAAAATTAACCTGCTTTTAAAATTAATAATTCTCAAATAGCTTGAAATATGATTAGAAATTTGTTTGTTTACATTGAAAAGCATTCGCACTCATTCGCTAAAGTCAATATATGAAAATAAAAAAAGAATATAAATTAATAAAAGTAAAATAGTCAAAGTATAATAATGAATATTTCATAGATACATTCGTAAAGAGATAAAGGTTATAAATTTATATTCCTTGCAGATAACTTCGCAATTGGTTTCGAAGTTATATATATCGTTATTTTGCGAGATTTTTGTTCAAAGAATAATATTATTTTAAAAAGAATTTGGATTTAGATATAGAAATCATCGAAACCAATGTAAAGAATAAGAAAAAAGCCATTCTAAATCCTTTTATCCTGGACTAAAATAGATGTATCAAAATCGCGACATTTGTTTCGCTACATACTTACTATTTTCTACGAAACTTACAGTCTTAAACCATAACGAGAAGATTTTTTTCAAAAAAAAAACATAATTTTTTTTCTTGAAATTTTCATTCGAAGTTTTACTTTCCCGGCTGTTATACACAACGGAGGGAAAGTATCGCAATCGGTCAAAAATTGACCCTCCGACATTTTTACGTTTTTGGACTCGAGGGATCTTGAAACGTAAACAAATGAAAAAGCATTCGGGAAGTTTTTCTGTATGAATGGATGTTAGTGTGTATATGTGTGTATGTGAGTAACACGATTTAGTTCACCCTCTTTGAAGCTTAATGACTCCTGTTTTTTTGTCAAAAATTTCTGAAATTTTGCAGGGTCGTTTGTGTATTAAGAGAATTGATGCTATTAAATTTTAGTGGTTAAACGTCGAAGGGATGAGGAAATAATGGACGTCGCGTATGTCTTCAGTAGGGTAGGACTTAACGATTTTATTCGCTATTAGAATTTACAATTTTTTTATAAAACCCATCTCTACCCTCAAAATTAAGCTTTTTGTCATTTTATAATAGTTAAAAATATAAAAGGTTTTTTAAATAAAATAACGTAACAGATGGTGCCACCAAATGTTGCCGGAAAAGTGAAACAACTCGTTGATGGCTTTTTTTCGTTTAGATGGCTCCACGTAAAGGCTGAAATTAAGAAGATTATTTGATTTTTTTATTTTTTGATTTAATTCAGTTAGAAGACACGACAGACAAACGAATTTCGTGAAAGTTCGAATACATTCTAAAGAATTTAGATATAAATATTTTTTCAATAGTTCTTTCAATTCTCAACTCTTGGGTATTGTTAATCATTCGACTTCATTATTTAAATTGGAACGACGTAAACCGAGAAAATTTTTCACAATTCTATTGAGTAATTTAAAATACTGTATACAATTTTAATTTTTTTTTTTACCCGTCCGTTTGTCTGGAGATTTCTCAAAAACTTAACTATTTTTGGGGTTCTCTTCGAAGAATTTGGTGTAAAATTGTGACGTTTTACTTTTTAATATCCCGTAAATGCGAACCAGCGCGTTAAGGAACCGTAAAGATGCGAGTATAATTGAATTTTGTGGTGGACGTGTTACATTTATTCGCCTAGAATCTTAATTAACTCCTCTGCTTAAAGGTGTATTATAAGAAANAAATTCAATTTCGTTTTCTTGGTTTCCATTCTTACTAATAACAATTTATTTATTTTTTATCTTTATCAAAATTCTATGATTTCTATCTAATTATGAACTTTCTATAAATTTTCGATTTTTATACTTGCTGTTAATAAATGAATCAATCAATAATTAAGTTTCTGTGATTTGAAGACAAACTGAATATTTATGTTGAAAATAATATACTAATTAGTTATAATATATTAAAAACTATATTAATCAGTTATAGAAATGTACTTTAAAATATTTATAGAAATTGATTTGAAGAAGTAGACTGAAATGCATTTTAAAAAATTGCAAAAATTTATTTTAATATTTTAGTGAAATATTATTCAAATACCAATAAGTTTAAACAAAGCTACCGATCTATTGTTCGATTCATAAAAAAAGGAGGGGGAGGAAGAAAAAAATCGGCAGTTTAAAGTCGCATAAACCCGACGTGAAGTCAACTTTTCTAAGAAGAAACAAGATATTTCACCGAAATCTTTTTCCAATTTTTTTCGCTTTTGTAAGCAGATCCCTCGTAATGACACTGACGTACTTAAATGCACTTCAAACCAAAATCTGCTTTTTAATAATCAAACAATTGTTAACCAACAAAAGACTCTTATCTTATACTAAGTGCATAATGTTTATGCCAACTGCATAGGTGTTACTGTGCTTCCACTTCTCGTACCCGTTTCACAGAAAAACGTAATTATAAACTACGTCGTGACGTAACGCGACGTCATCCAAACGTCGAATATCATTTACAGAAAATGATAACATTTTAATTTCTACACGCGTACTAATTAAGGGATTTGTTTTTTCTTTATCTCTCTGTCTTTCTCTCTCCCTAATGTGCCACAATACTTTAATTGTTTAGGGAAATTAAATGTCAAAAAAAATGAGTTTAGGGAGGATATTTTTATTTATTTTATACCTGCTGTTATATATTATTATTACTTCCATTAATAAAAACATTAGATCATTTGGTTATGGTTATATAATTTATGTTTATTTTAAAAGAAAGTTTTGCTTCTTGTGTATTAAGTGCATTTTGTATGTTTAGATTTTATATTTCTAAACAGATAGATCATTATTTACATTTTTGAGTGTTTCATTATTTTCGTTTATAATCTATCAATTTTGGTATAATTCCTATAATAATATATTTTAAAATATATAACTTTTTATACTTTTGACGATAATTTTTTTCAACAATTAAGAAATTTATGAATAACTTTTAGAATAAATCTAACGTTTTCATTTTAAAATATGGATAATCTTTAAAAAGTGTAATTGAAGAAACATTTCTTAAAACCATCGAAATTTCTATGATATTTGCTGCAAATATGCACGAAAGATTATTGAATTTTCATAAGTAGAAATCTAAAGCAATCCAAATTTAGTAGAATTCACATATTGAAATCAATTTGGAACTTATCCAGTGATAACAATAACCGGCTGATAACGTTAAATTAGGTAAATAAATAAATAAGACTACAACTAATGAAAATTATGGTTTAACTGATCTGATTATTAAAAATTGTATAAATTAAATATTTATTAATTATAATAATTATTATGAATAATAATTACTGGTCATGAAATGTATAATTGAAGTAACAAATGCAGCAATTTAAACTGTTGTACTGAAGCAAATAACGATTTAAAAGTTTAAAGCACTAGTTAAGCCGATAACAATAGCTAATAACAACTTCACTTTTCAACTACAAAATGATCCCAATGAAAAAGTACAGCTCAAAATTGCCTGTTTATTTGAAAATAAAGATAACTATAACGAAAATTCTGATTACAATATGCGAAATTTTATAAGTGTTTTTAACGTGCGATATCAATATCCGTGATTACAATAAGTGGATTCTACTGTATATAATTATATGTATAATTAATATATATTTTGAAAAAGTCTACGTAAAATTCTCAAAAAGTTACTATTATTAAAGTATTTTATTAATTGTAACGTTTAAATCAGCATTATTGCAATGAGTCGTTTCTACACAATATGAAAAATTTCAGGTTTACGTTCCTAATTAATGATTATTTCGTTATGGGTGTCGAATTATACGTATCAAATTTAAAATGCCGAAAAAATAAATAAACTATTAATTCTAGTAAATTATCAACACTTCTTTCAACGTTAAGCAACCATGTGTGAATTTAATACAAATTTCTGTAACAAGATATGTCATAAATTGCCGAAGCATGGACAAACATCACGTAAAAGTCTGACCTTGGTGATGAATATAATGGCAGTTAGAACGGCGGTTTAGATAAAGTTCATAAAGTCTTATT